CCAGAAAGAATCCTTTCTCACTGACAATTTAGGACACAAAATATTCTAAAATATTTCACCTAATTGTAGAAGATCAGAGTAACTATGATTGATTGGCCCACAAACCTAAGCACTAATTTTCTTTTCTCTGCATTGAGCTTAAATATAAACTGACAAAGTACAAACATTTCTAAGTATTTAAAAGAATGACTGTAATTTAATGGCTTTAAAACCCTCTTCATGACACCTCACCTAGAAGACTGATGTGTTCCCAGTCTGTTTTGTTGCCAGTCTTTGCTCTTCCTCTTGTTGTGTGCGCACAATGGGGGACTGGCTGAGTCTGCCCTTCTGCCCAGCACAACTCTTACTGAAACATGAAATCAGTACAATTTCAGACAAAATTACACTACCTGCAAGTCATTTCCTCGCAATCCTTTTGCCCTTTCCAGGTAGTTTGAGAAACTTATGATCTGCACTTGTACTTCATCTCCTTTCACTGCTCGAAAAGAATCTATTCAACTCGACTAAAAAAATAAACATGTTTCTTCAAGAGAAACTTTTAAGTGACTTTAAAACTTAGTTTTACAACTCCAAAATGAAATAAAACTTTTAATTTAGAATAAAGATGTGTGACTTTTCTTATTTTACTCATGTAAGTAATGTGGACACAAAAACATCTGTTAATTTTGATCTGGGGCTATTAGAAATAGTTAAATACAGTTTACCTTTAGGTAAATAAATTTTTATTTCTCTTCAATATGGGCCTTAAACTGAAGGCTAAGGAAAATCTACTAGCTTTAATAAACAAAAATAAGGTTTTGTAATAAAAGATTTGTAAGTCAATATGTATTTCTGAACTGCCTGAAAGCTATTTACTTTAGAAAAACACCTCTCTAGAGTCAAGTTTGTTTATACTCTAAATTAGTTGAACCCTTTGACTGTGTAAAAGTTAACCATCAAGGCAATCACAAATTGCAAGTTAGTTTACAGTGTATAAAAATGAAGTTTGATTGTCTCTATCTACACAGTAAGGATTACCCTCAAATCTGTCATCTCCAAAACAGAAAAAAATTTTTTCATCTTAAACCAAGTGAACAAGAAAAAGTCATGCATTAATACTATGAATATCTGCCCACATAACAGAGTAATAACTGACGATTTCAAAGAATATTGAAGTCATTTTAAAAAATAACTATCATCAGGGCAATCTTTTACAAAGTTTGGTTTAGAAATACATTTTTAGAAGTAGTAGCTGCTAGTCAAACTCAGTTCCTAGTTACACTGTACTGTTCTGCCAAGGATGGGGAACTCTGGTCAAAGCAGGCTTTTCTGAACCAAATTTTAGGCTAAGGCCATACCATGTCATCTAATCCTTTTTTTGTTGTTTAAAAAAAATAAATAAAAAATAGGGTGGGGTCACTCATCCTCAGTCACTCTTCTGGAGGCCACAAGCCACCACTGCTCAAGCACCTGCCAGCTATTTGGTGGTGGTCATCTCCACTGCCTCAAGAGAAAGTCTGGGCCCATTTCTAAGTGTCCCTCAAACACACACAGACCACACACCACACACCAACCTCATCCTCACAGCTCATGTGTGATCCCCTGGCTTATTCTTAGGCTCTAAAAGATGGAGAGTGAAAAATCACTCTCAGTGAGGCCTTTACCAGTTCTAAAGGTACTTTTAAGCTTCCATAGTATGAAAAGATAACTCAAGTTTGGGAAATCAGGAAGGCTTTTTACTCCTCTTCATATGGTTTATGAACAGTGTTAAAAATCAATTTGGGAAAATTTATAACTAGATATATATCTAACTAGACATCAAGAAAGACTCATCGATTCAGAATGAGACCACGATAGTGAATATTTATAAAATTCTGGCTAAGTAATACTACAGATGAACTACTAAAAATAAAGGGACTGTGAGCCTAATATACATAATTACAGAACAATAGATCTGAAAGACTTTCATTCCCCAGAATTTAAAACTTTCTGCTCCAATTTCAAAAAGCGTTGTTCCTAATAGTCTCTACCATGCACAACTTTCTCATCTACAACCTGCTTTGCAGTAGCCTCTCCTCCAGGACATGGAGGTACTTACAATGGACTTGAAAAGAATCTAAATCAGAATTTTTGGGGGGGAAGGGGGAGGGGTAATTTATTTCAAAAGTCATCTTCTGCCACTGTCACATATAGTTCTTAAGCTATTCAGGGGCATTAAAGTTTTGTTTCTGAGAAAGTAAACAGATTTGGCTACATTATAGAACTTCTGTAAGTCAAAACCAGTATAAACAATGTGCTACATGTTTGTCTTTATATGGCAAAGACAAAAGAAAAAATCTGCATTATGAAAAGCTAAAGTTTATTATCAATCCATAAAAGGTTCTTATGAATAGAAAAATAATAATATCCCAGGAGAAAAATCTGGCACTACATTCAACTAAAAGGAAAGAAAAATAGAAAAGAACTAGATTTTTTGGTGTTCAACATCATTTGTAATCAAAGAAATGGAAATTTAAATACTGATATGGCACCTATAAAGTTGGCAATAATTATTTTCCCTTTTAAGGATGTTTCCCCACATTAACAATATAGTAACACAGGTACTCTGAGTGCTGATGGGAGTATACTTTGGTATAAGATATTTTGGAAAGCTAATGGTCAGTTTGTATCAAGAGATCTTTGAACCATCAACTTTATTTCAAGAATTCCATCTAAGGAACTATGCCCTGTAAGAAAGTTTTATAAAGGATACTTGTTGGACCAGTACATATTTAATAGTAATTGGAAATAAGTTAAAAGTTAAGCTATAAGGAAATAGCTAAGTAAATTGTTAAATCTAGATAATGTAATATTACACAGCCACTAAGATTCTTGAAGAACTATAACAGCACAGAACTTTTTCATTATATGTTAAGCAGAAAAAAAAAACCAGCATGCAATAGTACATTTGTATAAATTGCATAATTGTAAAAAATAAAACTTTATGTCATATATTACCAAGTATAAAGAAAATATTGTGATTATCTTTGAACGGTGGGATGATTTAACTCAGACTTTTTCTCAATCCACCTATTTTTATATAGCAAGCATGCATTACTTTTGAAATTGTAACAAGGCCAACAGAACAGGGCTATTAAGAGATATGCTTTTTAAATGTTTAAGTCTTATAACTGCAGTTTCCCAGAAATACCAAAAAAATTCTAGCGTTTTATAGTCCTATGAAATACTCCAAAAATGTAACCGTCAATTACTGATATATAATTAAAAAGCACAGATCTTCTACAAGCACTATTTTCTCCACATAATGCTGATTTTAAAGAGTAGGTGAAAAAGTTGGAGCAAATTAAATAAGTAACTATACATTATTTTAAACTGAATTCCACTCAGGTTTTTGCTCTTTTAAGTAAGTAGTTCCGATCATTTCTTTGTATAGGTTTCTTTATGGAATATTGTACTTAAGAAAAAAATGAATAAAAACACTTCATACATAGTAAAGCTCTATACAAGTAACATATCACTGTTTCAATTTAAGTTGTCCATCATTTCCTGCCCTAATTAACTCTGAAAAAGTGGTTATCTACAAAATTGCAATTCCAACTATGCAATTTCTTTTAGCATTAATCAAACACTTATCTGGGTGTATCTAGACACCTTAAGGAAGTCCTAGGTTCCCAGAAACCCTGGACTGTTTTTCCCCCCTCTCTCCTGGACTGTCTCCCTTCTTTCCTCCAATCCTAACACGTTCACGCCCATCTGCCACCCCAGGCCTGAAGATTTAGCGTGATGATTGAATCATCATCTGGCAAAACATGAATGCTTTCGTCTCCCTCGTTTTGTCTAAGACTTTTATTCAAACAAAACACGCAGAATTTCCTTTCTGAGTATGCTATTTAAAATAAGCAGTATTAATAAAGTATGTGAAACGTTATGCAGGATAAATGAAGACTCCATTCCTATTCCAAAATCAATTAATCCGACTCAAAATCGACAAATAACTTAGTAGGAAAGAGTATTCCTTGAAAAGATTTATTTAAGGTAAGTAAAAACATAAACCTACTAATTACTATTGAGTAATCCACCAATAAGGCTGTGATCATAGGGGTATATTTTCCTACAGTGCTAGAGAAGCACAAGCGAACGGCCGGAATAAGGCACGGGACGAGAAGCCCTTGGGAATTGCAGCAACCCCATTAATGCCCTGTTCAGCTCTGATTACTTATGCTGAGAATGGGCCCAAGCGAACCGCCCTGCGAGAAGTCTGGGATTGCTGGGCCCTGGCAGGTCAAGTGTCTGGTGGGAGGCTTCCGGCTGAGGGTACATGCTCGTCGGTCTGAATAACTGGGTGTACTGTAAACTCTTTCCGTCACTTTCAAGGTGACAGCCACGGCGAGATCTGCATCCGTCCCTTCTGCAAGAGCTGCGCTGTCCCCACGTGAGACCTGCTCCATACAACCTCCACTCCGCTGGGGCTAACTCCCCACTTCCCCCACACACACACACTTTGGCACCCAAATCCTTAGAATACCCGTCCCCGCACCCTCCCTCTAAGCTAGTCCGTCACCCTACGACGGTTGCGTTCACCAAGTCCTCTCCCCACCCTCAGCCGCGATCCCCGCCGCGGACAGGCTGGGCGGAAGGAATCTACTCAACTCCGCACTTACCCGCAGAGCCTCGGATCCAACCCGAGCCCTCCGGGGAGCCAGACGCAGAAGTGAGGAGACCAGCACTCCGAGCCCAAACGCCCTTTGGACTCTCGGCAGAGGCGCTCCAGGCCCACCCGGGAGGCCCGCGGAGCAATCCGTGCCCGCCGGGCAGCCTGCGCACCTGGGGACACACGGCCCGTCCCCACCCCCACGCCTGCGGCGGCTGCTGCCAGGCGGGATCCCGGTGTCCCCGGCGCCCCCGCCTCCCTCCTCCCGCCTCTCCGGCCGCCAGGGGGTGGAGCAAGGGCGGGGAGTTCGGGAAACTTGTAAATAGAAAAAAGCTTGGCCGCCTCTGCTCCCTTCACCCGGTGCCGCCCCTTCCAAGCCGCCCCAGCCTGCGCCTCGCAGCTGGAGACAAAGGCCAGGCGACGTCCAAGGGGGCTGCGCCCCGATAAACTTGAAAGGCATGCGAGGCTGTACCTACACACTCCGGCTCCGGAAGCTCGCGTCGCGCCCAGCTCGCCCGTGGCTCCCTCCTCGCGCTCCCGGGTCCCAATCCCGAAGCCCCGCGCGCTCCCGGGCTAAATGCGGACGCGCTGCGGGCCCCGGGCGTCCGCGCAGGACCGCGCTGCACCTGTTGCCACGTGCGACGCGGCGCCCCGGGGCTGCCGCCTGCGCACCTGGCTGAACCTCACCTCCTGCACCACACAGGTTTCCGCGAGCCACCAGGACGCTGTCGCGCCCAGTGCTGCGGACCCCAGGCCGGGCTGACGAGAGGATCTACCTCCCACTGCTCTCCTGGCACCTGTGTGTTCTTGCGCGAGTTCTCCAACTTCCCGTTAGCCGTAGGGCATTGCAGCGAAGGCGGGCGGGGAGTGGGGTAGGGCGTGGGGAAGTTGCAGAGTTACCAGGACCAAGGTTTGCCAGAACCCAGGTTTGCCAGAACCCAGAGGGAATTGTTTCTTCAGAGTATCAGACTCCGGGTCTATAGTATTATCTTCATTACCTTTACTAAAGAAATGAGCTCCAGCTGTTAGATCTCCGTATAAAAAGTGCAAAGGAGAATAGAACACCAGGGAGAGAAATGAGTCCCGACCCACTTTTCAATAAACGCAAATTAAGTCCCTACTCTTTGCTAAACAGAACAAATTTCATTCCTAAACTATTAGGCCCATAAAATATTTTCTCCTATATGTATATTTTTAATGCAAAGCTTTTCCACAGTTGCTCTCCCACTTACAAGAGATATAACATTATTGAATCAGTAAAAATCAGAAAACCCTAATCAAAAATTTAAAAATATTAATTACCTGGTTTGGACTTGCTAAAGCTTTTTAAGAGGTTTTTTTTTCTCTGAGACTTAATCTGAGGATATTGTATTTGAGTTTCTATACTATCAATATTAGATCAACCAAGAGATGTATTGCCATTTACAATTGTAAAGCCTTTTCACGTGTAGTGTTCCATTATTTCCTCAGCAAGACCTGGAGTATGTGGTCAGATTATTATCTCCATTTTCGACTGAGGAAATGGAAGTTCAGAAAGGTGAAGTGACTTGCTCAAGGTCGCACAGCTAGTGAAGGGCAATAGACCTAACTCCTAATCTCTTTTTATCCCATTACGTGATAACAATTCTCATGTGCTTTTGAAGTTCTTGTTGTAAAGACAAACATGTAACTAACATACGACTTTAGGAAAAGATAATGTGAACATTTTTAAAGATACAGCATTAAACACCATTGAATTATTCTCCCTTATGCAAAAGCATCAAATACAAAACAAAAACAAACAACTGACATTATTTCTGCAAGTCATCAGGCAGTTATGCTAATTAGTTACATGCCTCCTCCCTAAGCAGAATAGTCAGAGTGTTAAACATACCATTTAATCTTTATAACCCTCAGGTGACCCAGATGATTTAGTCCAACTCCTCACAGTTGCGTTGTGTGGCTTAGTTATATTTATAAATATGGAACGTGTTTTACTTCATTTTTCCATGGGATAGATTAAAGAAAGAAGAAACAAAACAAAAAATGCCCTCCCCTAAGTAATTAAAAGCAACTTTTGTGGCCATTGGCTAATCTGAAACTTAGCTTCTAATTGAATTCAAATAAAAACAAAAGTTACCTTCTAGGGACATCATAAGGGACTCTGTCAAGGCAAATATGCTTGAAATGGGGCCTGCTGACTTTTCTTTCCATCTTGGTTCTGGGCATGTTGCCATGTTCTTGCTCTCTGAACTTTAAGGCTGACCTGCTACAGATTTCATAAACAATATCAAGGATCAGATAATAACTCCACATAACTTTGTGGCCCTTTATCCTAAAAAATATACATATATTTTTTCTCCATTAGACAATTGCAAATTAAAACAACATTGAGTAACTATTTTTTTACTTATTAGATTGGCAAAGATTAGAAAGTTTGATGAACACTATTGGCAAAAGTATGAAGAAATGAGCAGTCACAAAGCAGATGTGCATGGAAGTTAACATGACTTCCACTGAGGGCAATTCACAATACCTAACACAATTATAAATGTACATATCCTTTGAGCTATTAAGTCTACATATAAGAATTTATCTTACAACGCACATGAGAAATGGCAGTCTGCATAAATTGTTCATTTAGCATCATTTATAGTTAAGAAAAGATTGAAAATGTACAAATGTTCATTAATATAAAAAAACTGGTAAATTATGAAACAGCCATAAAGTTACATCCTTTGAAGGCTTTTAAAAAATGAGAAAAAGCTCTTTACTTTTATGAAGTGATCTTCAAGATACATTATGTGCACAACTTTTTGAAATGCAAAACAAGTATGCTACACTTTCTATTAAAAGGGGGAAATTATAGATACTCATATGTATACATATATACACACATTTGTTTGTATATGACTAAAATATCTCCGAAAAAGATATACCAGAAACTGATAGGACTGGTTATGTCTTGGGAAGGGAGACAAACAGCTAGAGGGCAGGGTTTAGGACAAACTTTTCAGTAAATATAATTTTATATTTTTTGAATTTTGAACCATGTGAATAATAGTATCCATCCCAA